CATCAGACCCCAATATCAGGCACCTTTCCCTGTTACATCTGTGAGACCTGCAAAGCACATACGGTACTATGTAAAAAAAAAAAAGACGGATATAAAAGAATAAATGCATTTTCAAGCCTCAGTACATTTTAGCACCTCTTACCAACAAAACCTTTTCAACTTTTTTGAGTAGGCCTTAGCTTAGCATGAGTTTCAGAGTCATCACCAGCCTTTCTGATACTGCTCTGTTGGTGATGATGTTGGTGAGGACATGACTTTAAGCCTGGCACTAGCGTTGGTTACCACTGTATTGTCCATAAGTGCTTCCCTCCCCATGGGGAGGCAGCCAGTGGACTGAGGGGTCTGGAGTAGTTTCCTGTCCAAGATGAGAGGGGGGTGCTGTAGCACTCAGCCCTGCAGTGCCTCTTGAGAAGGTGGGTGCTGGTGGCACTCTGCCCCATGAGTGCAGCTGGGCCACATGCAGGCAATGTAGTCCTGATCTAATGTTAGGACTTGGAAGCTTGAAATGGCTGGTCAGCCTAGCCTGGGGCAATGCTGCTTTCTGGGGCATGGGGTTTTGTCTGAGCCACAGCTTGTGTTATTTTAGTAGCACGTAACTTGAAAATCCTCCTACCCCTTGAGTCTCAGGCCCAGGGGCAGAAGGACTCTTGCCCAGCTTGCTTGAGAGATGAGCAAAAGTCTCTGCCCTAAGCAGTAGCCCTGCATTTGCCTGGCTTCAGCGATTGGTGTCCACACTTGTATGAAGTGCCATGTTTTGGATTGAGCATCTGAGTTGTGCTGGGCAGGGTAAAGGCTTTCCCTCATCAAACTAAGTTGGAGGGTGAGCTGAGTTCTGCTTAACCCAAAGCCCCAAGAGTCCCTGCTTCTGACTCTGTTGCTATGGGGCAGGGTTTGCACAAAACTATTCTGCAGCATCCACACAGGTTAGGGTGGATGCTTAAACTGACTTGGCTTTCCCCAGGCTCCAGACCATTCACTCAGTCCTGCAGGATAACTTCTTAGAGCATTTGTGCACAGAATCCCCACCCTATGCAGGTGGGGGACTTCCTGCTTTTTTCAGACCTGAGATTACTAGGGCTATTTAATGCCATGGCCCATGCAGCTGTCAGGTGGAATGACTTCCATCCAGTCCTGACCTGGGCCATCAAGTAGTCAGTGACTTGGGTGAAAAGGTCAGCCAACTACACCCCTTCCTCTGGGCTGTGCAGCCTTCTTGTGTGTGCTGCCAGGTTTGCTCTGCAGCTTACCTCAGTGAATGCTAATAGCATGTTGAGCATGGCAGATTGGGTTTTGGTTAGACATCAGCAACACAAGAGCAGCAAGGACGCTCCTGATAGCATGCGACTTCTATGGCCATGGTATCAGACATGCTCCAGGAGCCACTGATTCAGTCTGTGGTGCCCTGGTAGAGAATGTGCCAGGTCATTATTGCTACACTTCATCTCTGGCCAGGGACTTAGTGTTGTGTGTCTTAAGAAAGCTCAGCTCGCAGTGAATTCAGTCCCAGTCGTCAGACCATAAAAATAGGAGGCTTGGGAAGCAGCAATGGGAGTACATCATACCAGTAACACAAACAGATCCCCCAGGAGCAATTGGCTCCAGTACCAGGCTCTCTGGAAGAAAAACAGGCAGAAGGCTGGAAACCTTACTTCTATAAATAAAGCCCTGCAGCTGATGGGCTGACACTTGTATGGGCATCTGCAGGAGGAGCTACAGCACTGGACATCGTGGCAGGCTATGTTTCCCTTTGCTGACGTATTTATTGGGAGCTCCAGTGATGATGCAGGCACTGGAGGGCACTGCCTGGCCTCTATAACATGACGTGACTTCAGGTTGCCGCTAGAGCTGATTGCCCTGGTCAGCATTCTCCTGTTGCCTTTGCAGTCCCTGCTGTAGCATCGATAGAAGATCCCGATTCCACACGCCAGGAAGATCTGTTCTCTCCCTTTATCTTGAAACTTGTCAAAGGCTTTCTCCACCTCACTCCAGCTGTGGTGAGTTGCTGGTTCAGTGGGGCTTCCTCTTGAGCAACAGCAAGAGGCAGGGCACCAAGATCTCTCTTCAGGGTGAGCCAACAAACAGTTAAATTCTCCCCAGTGAAAGATGGGAGTTTGTCGCTGTGGGAGCACGAGGCTCATGAGCTTCATGTTGCCAGAGTGGCTGGATATACTAGTCTGGCTTAGTCTACTGTCCCCATGTGCAAACCTGATTGGGCTAGTGATGGTGAGCTGCAGAGGTGTGCCTCATGAAGCTCCTGGCTGCAACATACATTAAAGAATGGGAAGTATCTCACACCCTAACATTGGATTGGGACCCAGTGGGTTGTATCCTTGGAGCTCTCCCCTCCTATAATTGTTAGGGTCCTGCTGTTTGGTCCATGAGAGCTTGATCTATCTGTGACTGTTTTGGCAGCTCAGGAAACAGCTGCATCCCTTCCAGTCTGCGGAAGCCCTTAATCACTCTGCCTCAGGCTGACGGGTCACAAACAGCCAGCCTGATGGAGGAAGCTAGAAGTATTCAGCACCACTTAGAGAGAGAGTTCCTCATACTCGGTGTTGGTGGATGAAGGGAAATCTGTGCTGGCAGCCAAATAGCTTGAGAGATTCCCAGTCAGGCATCACTGTGTTTACAAGGGAGCTGGCATTTGAGATTTATTACCTTCACGCTCTGTGACTAAGACAGAATGTGCTACCAGCCTAGCTCGGTGCAGGCCATGTCATTCCAGATGCCGTAGGGTGAAAAACACTTCTGTAGATACTTTTTGTCTAGAAGGGACCTGTAGCTCATCTAGGCTGACCAGTTGTGCAACACAAGCCAGAGCTTTCCATTCATTTATCTCTCTGTTGTGTTTGGTTAGCTTCTAGGTCTAGCTTTTGACTTGAAGAAACCATAGTTTCTCCCCTGGTTGACCAGACTCCTTCAATCATTTTGTTTCCTAGTGGGTGCTGTAGTGTCAGTGTTCAGTGCTGGATCTGGGTCTGGGGGAAATGTTTGATCCATCTTGGTCAAACGATGGAATTCACTGCTTTGTTATTATTTGCAGTACAGTTGCACCCAGAGACCTCAACCATGGTCCGGCCTAGCAGAACCAGCTTGTACCTGTGAGGCTGGGCACAGTAAGGCAAATAACAAATCTACCAGCATTTTATCCAAAGTGTTCTGATGTAGTTATACAGACAAAAATCAGATTTCATGCTGCCCATAGCCTTTGCTATTCAGCAAATCCCTTCTAGTATGGACAAAGTCTTAATGTTTGTGAAAGTCTTTCAGGCCTTTGGACTAAAGATACTAAGAAGTGCTGGAGTGTGATTGTCTGTCTAGGTGGGGGTGGTTTCCAGTGGCCTGCTAGTAATTCTCTTTATTTTAAAGACCTCATTCCCCTCTGTTCCGTATCAAATTCGTAGAAGAAGCTGTTCATCTCATGCCAAGGTGACTGGCTGATTAGTCCTATGACTTCTTCTTGTGTGTGACTTTACTGTGAATAATAGTGGAGGGAGGGGAAGGGGGAGGGTGAGATGTCAGCCTTGTCTTGTGGTTTTTCATACAGTTGCTCTTGATATCAAGTGATAGGTCATCCTGCCACCTGTCACCTTGCATGGGAGCTCTGGTAGTAATAATACATCACTCTTGCATTGTGCTTTTTATCAGTATATCTCAAACTGCTCCACAAAGCAGAGCAGTGGGGGAAACTGAGGCACAAATGGGGGATGACTTGCCCAAGATCACCATGCAGGGCAATGACAGAGTAAGGAAAGGAGTCTGGATCTCCTGAGTGTCAGCCCTATGTACTGTCCACTTGGCGTCCCCGCCTCCCTTACACAGTGCTGTCTCCAGAATCCTGCTGCTAAGACGCTGCACAGGAGGGAAAGGCTCCTGTGACTCAAGAAAGGGAAGTACAGAGTCTCCTGTCTCATGGGGGTGGTGGTGAGAGGTTCCACAGGTGGCAAAACCCAGGCTAATGCCAAGTGGGGTTTGTTTTGTCTTCCAGCACAGGCAGCAGTGATCCTTACTGCATTGTGAAAATCGACAATGAAGCCATCATCAGGTAACTACCTTGGGCACTTGCTGTCTCTAATCTTCACTCGCATGCTCTCAGTCCCTTTCTCCCCATGGTCTAGCCCCACAGCTCAGTAAACCAGCTTAACTTGGCTGATTGCAATGGAGCTTGGACTGTTTTAGACCAACTCAGGACCTAGTGGCATCTCTCTCTTTTTCCATGAAATGCTGCCTGGAACAAACATTAATTTCCCTGCACCTCCAAAAGCCTGCATGGTGTGTGCTCATGAAGCTTTGAAAACCACAAACAGAGCAATTCTCTGCTCCATGGAGCTTTGTACAGCTCGGGCCATTTGCCTTCTCTATTTGTTTTGTTTTCTCTGGTTTTAGGACTTCAGGCGCCAGCCATTAAAGAGAAGCGGTTTTAATGCCAGAAATGTTGTTTAATTTTGTCTCCTAATGTGTTATTAATGGCCTGTTTATTTTGGAACAGTGGGGAAAACTCGTGTCAACTCCTCCCTAATGCAGCAGATACCACCTGCCCCCAAACCCAGGTTTGACTCTAAACAATAAGGAGTTACCAGAAAACCTATTTCCCTTCTCATGTAGAGGATATGACAGAAAACAAGAAACACTGATTCCTCACCCAGCTCCCCTCCTCTGGGCCTTGAAGGGAGCTGGGCTGAGGTCCTGTTTCCCAGTTTTCAACAAGTTGATGCTGAAGGATGTTTATACTTGTGTAAAAAATGAACATTTAAAATTTGAGCGCTAATACGTGATAGAAGCCAAGTGTGGACAGTAGCCAGCAAACACAAGTTAGCTGATTGAGCTGAATTGTACACCATCCTCCATGTAAAGTGTACCCCAACTAGCTAACACATCCTTTCTGCATAGAGATTATAGCACATTCCCTATCACATGTTTAAAACACCCCTTGTCTAGCACTGTAGGCAGACAGGCCTAAGGCAACTATAGTTTACAGGCAGCCCAGATCCTTTTGGCATTAGGTCACTGAGCATCTCCAGACCTAGGTTAGTAAGGATGATCCTTCCTGTCCTAATTTGCCCTCTGGTGCTGAGGGAGAATACATCGTATCTTAGACTTTTCTGTGCTGTGAACCCAGGTCACAAAAGAGAAGACTTTTGGGTTCCTCATCCCAGCCCCACACCACCACATCTAGCCCTAAAGAAGGGGAGCCTGGTCATCACTCATGGAAAACTGATCTTGACCCTTGAGGGTCCCTTGTGCACCCACCCATATGAAGGTGCAGAGGGAGAAGGGAGTTTGGCCAGGATGCCTGCTATGGAGAAGTGTCATGGATGCCTTCATCACCATGGGTAGTCAGGAGACTTGGTGCAACATCTCACCCAGTGCTTTGACTGTGGGGAAGTGGTGCCTCGCTGCCCTACAGTGGCACTTGGACACTTGGGGGGTGGGGGTGTCAAGGAAGATCCCAGGTAGATCTGTATCCAAGGGGAGATGGGAGGGGTGTTTAAGAGATTACTTTACACTGTTACTAGGTGCTTGTAGTGTCTCTATAAATAAAAGGACCGTTGCCCCACAGGACGGCCACAGTGTGGAAGACTCTGTCCCCATTCTGGGGGGAGGAGTACGAGGTCCACCTGCCGCCCAGCTTCCACAATGTGTCCTTCTACGTGATGGATGAAGATGCACTCAGGTATGGTACCAAGTCCTTCGGGTCCTAGTCTCCGGTTACTCCCTGCAGCTCTGCTGCTGTCTGCAGTACCAGACTGAATGCTTCCTGATTTGAGCAGAGGGTTGGGCTGAGATCGCCGGACCTTGCTTTTAATTTTGTGGCAGGCAGCGCCCAGAAGCACACCCATGCAAGGCACAGGGCTCACACCTAGGTAGATCTAGCCCCTGTCCCAAAGACCTTCCAGTCTAGACAGATCAGGCAGTGGAAGGACTGTTGCAAACATGTGAAATTACTTGTCCAGGGTCATTCAGGGAGTCAATGGCAGAGCTGAGAACTGATCTCAGTCTCCCCCTTGCCCTGGTGCTTTGAGCACATGGCTACTCTCAGAGGCAGGCTGGCAGTGAAGCAAGAGGTTGATGTGCGTGCCATCGAGGAGTGTGCCAGCCCTGCCGATCTCTGCCAGGAATGCAGTCGTTGCTTTCAAGGAGCCATAGAAAAGGTCCAAATAAAATTAGTAGAAACCCTGCCGGCCCCACAGCATGCTTTATCAAAGCAGTGCCAGCAAGGATTCAGTCAACCACTTCAGAACAGGGTTGGGCGTAACTATAGGCTGTGATCAGTGCTGTCTTTGCTGGCATGTGCTTAGGCTTTGCATCACACTGTCGGTCCCCCTGGACAGTATCCAAAGCTGACTCCAGTCCCTGACCACTCATAAATTAAATGCCTTGGCAGCTGCAAGAAGCACACAGTGAGGCCTCCCCTGCATTTCCAGCAGCCCAGCTGGCAAGGCCAAAGCTACAGAGAACTGGGCTGCTGGTAAAGTTCTCTGCATGGGCAGCCCTGCTCCATGCAGATAGGTTGCAAAACCCTGGGTGGCACAGAAAGAGAATACCCTCCCAAGCACTGGCAAAGTGCCTGCTGACATATGGCCTCCCTGGTGTCAGCCCTGGTGTATTGGGCCTGGAGAAGTGCATGTTCATACAGAGGAGGTACAGGCTAGGTTCAGTGCAGCAGTGCCTTTTGGACGGTGTGTGCCCTGTTCTCTCTGTGTTCAGGGATGTGACCCAATTGAGTTCAGAGACCCCAGGGAGTCCTCAACCTTGGAGAGAGGTGTAGTCATCAGTGATGAGGCATGGGATGAGGGTGCCTGTCCTACAGAGATCTTGTGAAATCTGGGCTGGATCAAGAAGTGTCAGGCACCTTAGGGCTGGCTCCTGTAGCTTGGGAGACATCAGAGGATGTCGCCATGTTCAGGAGTTTCCCAAGTGAGGGTCTTTGTGGAGTCAGGAGACAGCTTCCTGCTTTCAGGGGCAGGTGCCTACAGGAGGGCCCCGTGGGTTACTGGCCCAGGTGCTTCCTCTGCTCATTGTTGGCACAGAGAGACAGGAGTGAGTACCACTGTCAAGCTGCCCCCTTTTCTGGAGTTGGACACTTTCCTGCCACCGGCCCAGAGCCCTACCAGGACCTTTCTGCTGGCAGCGGCAAAAGGAATAGTTGTAGCCCCAGTTACATGCAGAACATGGCAGGGTTTTGGCTTCCCAGAGCTCCGGGCAATCAGTGATGGGATGCTCAAGAGCTCTTCATCATTTGCAGCTGCTTGCAGAGCATTTCAAGTCACTGCTATTATCTGGAAAGGGGCTGAACAATGCTGTAGCCAGCGGAGCCAGAGGTGGGGGTGGGGATCATTGTGTTTTTCTCAGTGGTCCGGTCAAGAGACAGGCTCAATTTCTGATTCCTTCCTTCCTCTTCCCGGAATATCAGAAGGATGGAAAGGCAAGCATCCCTCAGGACCCTGAGAGATGAGAGCAGAGCCTGAGAGAGAGGTTGCTTATGGCTTTAGGATAACAGGTTACCCCACAAAAGAGGAAACTCCCAGTGATCAGCTCCCTCCAGAGCAGGGGCGGGCAATTATTTTGGGCGGAGGGCTGCTTACTGAGTTTTGGGAAGCTTCTCCTTTTCTGCATGTAAGTGACTCCAGTCAGCAGGCCCAGATCAGTCGCTTCTAGTTGATTGAGGCATTTCCAGTCTATCTCTCTGCAGAGAACTGTCTCTGGTGGGTTCCAATGGCCGCACTAATGCTTGAGACTGACCTGCTGCTTTGAGTGTTGGGGGCAGGGGCTGTGGCTGCTGCTGTATTCTGTGTGGCCCCAAGACACTGTAGGAGTAATGGCAGCAGCTCTGATACCATCTCCTCGGCCTTTGATTATGGCCAAGGCATGGCACAGATGCCAGAGATTGTGCGTGAGTGTGTATGTGTGCATGGTACATGTGTGTGCTGCAGAGATTTGGTGTAGGGTGGCAGCATAGTATGAGCTGATGCTGGACTTGAGTGAGGAAGTTCAGCTGGATCCAGGAGCAAGGGCCTGTTGGTCTGCAGTGACCTGGGGCTGGCAAGGAGCTGGGCAGCACAAGCAGGTAGGGGAGGTGACAGGCTGCCTGTCCTCAGCTCAGCAGCCTTCCTCAGAGAGCAGGCCCCAAAGATTAAGTGGGGTGCTGCAGGGGTTAAGCACCTCCCCAGACTTGACTCTTTACCCTGGTCAAGAGGGGAGGGACAGTGGTGTGCTGCAATGGACAGAGCCCTGGACCGGGACTTGGGTGACCTGCATTAATTCCTGTCTCAGCCCCTGCCTGCAGAGGACCTTGAGCAAGTTACTTTCTATTGCACCTCCATGCAAGAGGCATCAGATGCTACTTCTTGTAAACCATGTTGGGATCTGCTCCATGAGGGCAGGAAAAGTGGGGCCACTGCGTGGATGTGGCCTCTAGTTCAGGATCCCACTTGAGCTTGCACTGATGATCCCAGTAAGGTCAGTGGGACTCGGGCTGGCACATTAGCCCCCTCTGGCAAGAGTTCCATTGAAATCTTGCCTAGTATAGACCAGAAATGGTGAGTGGACTCCTTTCAGCATTAGTTTTGACCTTAAACTTGAAGCCTGGGGATCTGAAAGAGTGTTTTGCCTGGGGCCGGATTCAGACCTGGGTCATTTGAACCAACTTTTGGCAGGCATTTGACTTATTAGAAGTTCATCAAGGCAGATATTGTCCCACCCTTGCAGTGACAGGCTCTTCATTTTGTCTCCCCAGCCGTGATGATGTCATCGGAAAAGTCTGCCTGCCTCTGGATGTGCTGGCCAAGCATCCCAAGGGTAAGGCAGTCTCGGGACTCGGGTTGGGCTGCACGGGTTGGGCCCTGCGTGCAGGCAGGCAGCAAGCTCCAGCAGTATGTGTACTGTCCCAGTGCATCATCTTCAGGCATCAAGGCCTAGGCAGAGGACTGGAGGCTGTGCCAGTGCCTGCCAGCCCAAGGTGGGCCCCTTTTCAGGGCTGGGATTGCTGCTTCTGGCATCACTGTGCACTTTCCTGCCAGGGGAACAGAGGTGAAACCAAGCCCATGTCAGCCCTCTGTGTGTGTCCCGACATAGGACACTTGACCTGCCTGGATGGCTTGGAGCTTATCAGCAGTGCCCAACCTTCCAGGAAATAAGGGGGTGGGAGCTGAGTTCAGGTGGGGGCATTGGCTCTAACGTCGGCCAAACCAGGAATTCCTCACTCTTGTCCCTGTAAATCCACATAGCTTGGGGCCCAGCGTAAAGGCTCTCTGCCCTGCACTGCCATACCCAGCACTGTACACGCCAGCAACCAGCCTGGCCACAGGACACTGCACTGTTCCAGCCGAGCTATTTCAGAGGTTATAAACAGACATTGTGTGGAGCAGGATCAGCTGTGTAGGAATACGTCCCAGCAGAGCTGCTCCACTTCATTGGCATCTACAGGCGTAACCCCAGTGGGGTTGGGGCACTGTCCCAGGCCACTCCTGGGGGGGCCTGATCCTGTGGAACAACAGCCCCCATTCAGGTTCCCCCTCTTGCTGGTGCATGCCTCGGGTCAGGGTCCAGCAGCCTAAAACACATGCTGTGAGCATCCCTGCGGGGAATTCCTGGGGTGGGCAATAAGCTAACAGACATCCCACTTAAGATGTCACAACCCACAGCTAGGTTTGGTCATAGCAACATTTTTGGGCTCTTGGAACATGACAAGGGACTAGGAAGTCACCCATAGCTTGTGCCACTATAAATCTGTTTATAGTGGCACAAGAGCGACTTCTGATTGCAACCAGAGCAGGGTGCCCTGCATCCCATAAAGCCATGCCAGCTTTTGCTTGTGTTGACTGGTATAAGCACCACCTGTCAATGCTGACGCAGTGGCCAGAGCCCTGGGAAGCAGGATTCACAGAGGATGTACATGGTACCAGAGTAGCATGGCTGTTTCTTCAAGCAGGCTCCTGGGCCCCACCCCCTGTGCTTATCAGCAAGGGCTCCAGTGACGCACATTTAGAGCCGATCCCCACAGCTAGATCCAGCCCGCCCTCCCCACTGCAGCTGGGTCAGGAGGGAGGAGAGGCTGTGAGCTCAGCTGAGGGTCCAGTCATTGGGCATACCTGATGCTGGCAGTCCCCTTTGCAGGGAAATGTCTGCCTGTGATTGGAGGAAGCCATCTCCCACCTGCCTTGGGCATGAGTCATACAGGTCTCTCTCTGCCCGAGTCCCCTCTTCCTTGAGGAGGCAGCTCACGTCCTCTGCTTGCTGCCGTGCAGCCCAGAGATAAGGGCAGAGGATATGTGTGGATGGAGGAGGCAAGAAGGAGCAGTGACCTCCTCCCTGCATTGCACGTGTCTGCGTCTGTGGCTGGGCCTGGCAGGTTTGCAAGGACTCTGGAGACCCAGCTTGTTGTTTACATCCCGGCAAGGCCAGCGATTTTGGGGGAAGCAGCTCTGAACCCAGCGTGTTGGGCAGGGGAAGTGCTGCCATGTGGCAAGTGGCTGAGGGGCAGATAAAGCTTTTCCCCCTTAGGTCCTGCTGCTGGTGATGGAAAGCTGTTACCTTGGAGGGCTGCTCAGCCAAATGAGTAGAAGGGTCCTGTTTGACCCGGCCACAACTCCACGTGGCCCATGTCGGGCTGTCCACCTTGTGGGTTGTGGGGGCTGCAGGCTCATGGGCCGTGCATTGTATGGGTTGTGCACCGTGGGGCAGCCTCCTGAGGTGCCTGCCACCGCACAGGCCACTTGTTTTCCTGCCTTGCTGTGGCAGCCAAGCTCCACTCACAGCCATGCGTGCAGCCCAGCTCCTTCCCTGAGCTGCTGTGGGCAACTCAGATCCTTCATGACCCTCTCCCCCACCATGCCAGCTTGGCTCAGGAGATGCACATCTTTTTCCTCCAAGCTAGCCTTGAGGTACTGGCAGTCTGGGACAGTGCTCTGACTTCTCTATGGAAGGAAGACTTTGCTTTCTCAGGGCTGGAGCCTCTTACCTGGCATTAAGTTCTCTGCTAATATATGCAGCACTGTGTGTGTCTAGAAAATGTGGAAGCAGTGGCTTGGCTGTCAGGATGCCCAGACTCTGTGCCTGGCTCCATCACTACTTCACTGAGCAACCCTGATTAAGCAGAACACCTTCTCTAGGCCTCAGTTTTCCCATCTGGGGTGGGGAGATGCACCTCTGAGCAGGCCATTCCCCCTGTGTCCAGGCTACAGCGGCTGGCTGAACCTGACAGAAATCGATCCCGACGAGGAGGTGCAGGGGGAAATCCATCTCCTGATCGAGATCCTGGGCAGCACCGTGGCACGGAAGCTGCGCTGCAGGGTGTTTGAAGCCAGGTAGGAACAGAAACGGGCCCTCGGGAGGCGGCTGGTGAAACTCATGCAGAGAGACCCTGGGCAAGGGCAGGGGAAATGAGGGAGGACTGGAAATCCTGCTGCATTTCCCTGTGGGGGCCCCCGCAGGTCTGCAGCCTCCCTGCCTCCAGGGAGCTCTGCAGTGTCTACCCAGCTGAATGGAAGCAGAGGCATTTGCTTGGAGCTGATGCAGTGTCTAATCCACCCCCATGCAGCAAAGCCTGTGACTCAGGCAGGCAGGCAGGAACGTGGGCAGGAGGGGCACTGGGACGCCACAAGCATCCCGCTCCCCCGGCCAGGCATCGGCTTGGAATCCCCTTAGCGTGAGTCATGCAGCTCTGAGGAATTTCCCTCCACGGCTCATGCAGGCACTTGACCTTTCCAGCTAAATTTGGCTGCAGGAGCTCTGTGTGAACGCCCTGTGGGCAAGCGGTGAGCTGCCAGACCTTTCCCATCTCTAATTACAGCTGCTCTAACAAGCGGGAGACTCACTGCGGGGGCCAGACAGCAAGCAGGCCAGGGCCAGGGGGCGAGAGCTGCAGTAGGTGCGAGTGGGGGTCTTGACTGGTGCTTCCAGTTGGCAGCTTTGCCCAGAGTAGTGAAACCCTTTGTTGGGGTGACTTGGATGCAGCTGGGGACTAGCCAGAGCTTTCCCTGCCCTTGCCCTCCGTGGCTTGCAGCCGGCTTGGCCAGGGCCTGCCTCCCTGTCCACGGGAAGTCGCTGAGTGATTGTGATCTGGCTGCACCTGTAATGACCTGCTGGGCTGACATCTTATCCTGGTGGGTGTCAGTGTCACGCTGGGAGGGAGATGCAGATGCAGACCGCTCCCATGTGGCCCTCAGGGAATTGCTGTATTCTCCTCTGCTTGGAGGACTGGGCTCACAGCCAGGCGGCCTCTGAGTTGTGTCTGAGGCAGGTGTAGAGCTGGGTCACTGGGGTCTTTCCCTTGGGGCTCTTTCCAGGGAAAAGCCTTGCTTATTTGAAAGATATCCTGTGTAGCAGCCTCTCAGATGTGACCCCCTCCCTGTATACACAAACCCCATCTCATAGTCTCCTGCTGAGCCCCATTCCCCAACTCACCCAGAGCAGCCTGGAGCCCTCCCATCCCGGGACTCTGCAGGCTTCCTGAGCTGCTGGCTTATTCCTCTCATAATTAATGTTTGTTGATTTACTAATTCATTTAACGGGGGGGGGGGGCATGTGGAGACACCTCCTGAGGGGTTGGGGGCAATAAAGAGAGGAGACAAAAAAAAAAAAAAAAACTAATTAATTTAACATTCATATGGGGGAGTGGGACCTGTGGGTCCTGATTTTAGCATGTGCCGTATACAGCCCTTAACAGATAAGGGATTATCTAGAAATCTCACAGCGTAGGGTGTGGATCTGACACTTTTTTTTTTTTGCAGAGCAGAGGCAGACAAGGAAGAACCCATCTTTGTCCTACTGGCAAATCTTATCCCCTAACATCATCATGTCAGGAGGCACCGGGTCTGGCCCTCAGCTGTGGCAAACTGGCCTGGTCTTCCAGGGACCAAGGTCATTTATTCTCCAGAGGGAGAATACAGGGGGAGTGGTGTCTGATACCAGCAGTAGATGGGGCCCTTGTGAGTCACAGAGACATCCTTTTCGTAATGCATCCTCCCCGAGTCTCTTTAAGCAAATAATAACCCAGCATCCCCAGAGCCTCCCACGGATGTGCTCTTTCAAAGTGGCATCAAACAGGTGACCCTGCCCTTTGAAGTCTGCTTGGGGTAACCAGCAGAGCCCTGCACTGTTCAAAGCAAAGTGCAGCATAGGTGATCAAAAGGACTTTGATGCTACTGCAGAGGTGTGTTTAGCTCCCAGCCGATGGTGTGCCTTGGACGCTGGAATGTGTGTAGGGGAGGGTTTGCACAAAGCAGTCTAAGTCCTTAGCTTTTTTCTTTCTGGGTTTGTTGTATCTTCTTAGTCCAAACCATCCATGCCAACTCTTTACCCTTTGCTTTTTGCCTCTGGAAAACCATCTGCATTTGATACATCGTGGTTCATCAGCCTGTAGCAGCTCCAGAGTTACCAGCGAGAACCTGCATCAACAGGACCCAGTCTGCTGGGCTAATTTAAAGCAGACAGAAATTGTCTTATAGAAAAAAGTACCCTGGAGAGCATAATAAACAGGATGGCTGTGTCTTTGAAACCAAATGGGGTGGATTTTCCTGCTCTAGAAGGACAGGAAATGCCATATGTGAAAATGCCAAGCGCCTGGTCTGGAATTACAGGGGTGTATGTTGTAGCTTCTAACTTTGCTGAGGAAAGCCTGGAAAAAATGAACGGGGCACTTTGGGGTGGGGGAAGGGGAAAGGCAGGGAGTCTACATGTGTAAAGGTCCTGATCGGGCAATTCCGCAGACTCTTCTGGAAATTGATGGGCTTCCCTCCCCTTTCTGGTGCATCGCTGCAATCTGCATGGATGAGTCATCCGATCAGAAATACGGTGCAGCTAGCAAAAGGCTTTTCTCCAGGGATGCTGTCTACAGACAGAACTCAGAATAGGTTTATTGTAAGCAAAATAACACGGAGAAAGACCTACCCTCAGCCTGTTGTTGAAGATTCCTGCTAATATGATCAGGTTGTTGTCAGTGTAAACAGCACGTGCTTATCTGGAACGCAGACAAAGCTCTTGGGCTAGAGGTGATGTCTTTTATTAGACCAGCTAAATAGTAGCAAAAAAAAATCTTTCACTGCAAGTTTTTGGGTCCAAACACCCTTTGTCAGACAGAGGAGAATTCAAAGATTGTGGAAGTTCACCTAGGTAGAAAGGAAACTTCATCTGGAACGCTACAGTGGTCTGGTGGCCTGTATGGAAGGGGATGTGGCAAAGGCAGAGGGGGCTCAGGAGCAAAGTGATGGGAATGGGGAGAGTCTGGAAGAGCCGCTGACCAGGAGGGAGAGAGTGGGGGAGACAGTGA